ATGCAGTCAGCAGCTCCCATGCGCCCCCTGGCTCCCCCCTCACCATGCTCGGGCTCTGCGATTCCCGGGCATGTGAGCCACTGGAGAGCGGGGCCCTGAGCCTGCTCCAGGAGGGGCAGGGCCCTGTGCCCTGGTGGTGGCTCACATGCCCGGGAGCCACAGAGCCCGAGCATGGTGAGGAGGCAGCCGGGGGGTGCATGGGGGGCCAGCACCCACATGCATCTGCTGCAGCCTGTAGGAGCCCCCGGGGGGGGGGGGGATGGCGGGCTGCTGCCTGGGCAGGTGGGGTGGGGGTGTGGCTGCTCCCCACTAGCCGTGCCGCTGCCTTTGTAGGGCTGCAGTCCCCCTGTGCCGTGCCGGCTCCTCCATGGCTGGGGCTCGCTGCCCCCGCAAGCCGATGCTCTGGCTCTCCGATGCCTCCGGAAGGAGCTCCTCCCTGCTGAGCTGCTGCAGTGGCCCAACCCCGGCAAAGCCAGTGAGTGGACTCAGGGCGGGGGCCGCCGGGGTGGGGTGCGGTGCAGTGGGCTCGGAGGGGGGCTGTACACCTTCCAGGGGAGTTCAGGCGGCAGAGAGGGGCAAACCTGGTCTGGGGAGCAGCCCCTGGGCACGGCTGGCCCCTGGGGTCTATAAAGGCTCATTGGGATTTGCCCCTCAATGAACCGATGTGCGGGGGGGGAGGGGCGCAAGGTAGAAGTTTCGCCTAGGCCGCAAAATATCCTTGCACCGGTATGTGCATAGGTATGTGTTTGCGAATGGCAAGAGCATTTCCACTCTCAGTTGCTGAGAGTCTGGGATACTCCTTTTTCACAGAGAGCCAAAAGTTCTCCAGTGCTTTTCTTTTGGATTCCATCAGCTGGGTACGATCACTTGACAGCTCTGACTCTATTTCTTCGTCAGCAAGAGGGAGATATGTAGCTGCCAAATCTGCACATAAAGGGTTTCTAACCCAGTCAACCTCCTCGGCTGGTTAGCCACGAAACTTCTCTGATAACTCTTGATGGAGATTTTTCAGGTGATTAGAGACAACTTCATCAATGTGTTTGTAGTCAAGTTGATAGTCTTCTGTGAATTCATGAGGCACTGGAAACCGTCTGCATTTCTTTCTTCATATTTCTCTCTCCACAGAGTGGGCTTCTTCAGGAATTCAGAAATCTTGTCACCAAGCAACAAGATGTTGCTGTTCTTTCCTTGGAGTGAAGTGTTGAGATCGTTTAATTTCTCAAAAATGTCTACGAGACAGCAAAGACTCGAGAGCCGCCTTTCATTGGTTACGTTTTCAGCCAGTGCAGGGTTGTGTTCTGACAGGAAGAGATGGAGTTCATTTTTGAGACTGATGACATGGTGAAGCACCTTCCCTTGGGACAACCATCTGACTTCTGTATGCAGAAGGAACTTGTCCTATTGAGAGCCCATTTCATTGTACAGAATAGAAAAGAGCCAGCTTTTAAAAGGTCTTGCTTTTACAAAATTCACAATTTGCACTGCATCATTCAAAACCTTGTTTGCTTCAGGTTCCAGTTTTTTAGCAGCCAGAGCCTCACAGTGTGTCATGCAGTGCGTGACTTTAATGTGGGGTGCAATGCTGAGTACTTCCCTTCTGAAGCCCTTCTTGGGACCCACCATCGCAGCTCTGCCATCAGTACACAGGCCAATGCAATTAGATCATGACAAGCCATGTGCTCTCAAGAATTCATTCACAAGATTGAAGATGTCTTCTCCCATACTTTGCCCCTCAAGTGGTTTGCAGAACAGCATATGTTCTAGAATTTCAGCCTCCTAGCACTACCTGACAAACACGAGTTGAGCCAAATTCATGATATCAGTGCTCTCATCAAGTTGTATGGCAAACTTTGTGCTTTGTTTAACTCGAGTCAAAAGTTGCAATTTGATAGCTTTGGAAAGTTCATTAATCTGCCTGCTCACTGAATCCTGTGACAAAGGAATAGTTTTCAAAGTTTCACCATATTGATCTCCATGCATAATCTGACACATCATTACCACAGCTGGTAATACTCAAGGGATGCTTTCAGAGCTTTTGATGGCATAGTCACTTGTTTTTTTCATCATGTCTCTTTGACCACCCAATGACTTAGCACAGCATTGGAAAAAATTGACATCTTTATTTGCATGTTCAGAATGTTACGAATCAAGTGCTGTCTGTGCTTCAACAGTTTCATGATGTCATTTGCTCAGATCTCAGAACACAGAATCCATAGCTGTCTTTGCTCGTGATTGACAAGAGTCCATGAGAATTCCAGTGTTACATATTCATCTTGATATTTGCTTAATTTAAAATTGAAAGGCTCTTTGATAGGACTGTTCACAGCAGATTTACTAGTGCCAACACTTGTTGAAGGTTCACGTACAAATTCAGCTGGATTACTGTCGGCATCAGTGGTTTTTTATATTTTTATTGGAGTAATGTTAGCATCTGATGAGGAATCAGAAACATGCAACATTTACTACTACCACCCACAACCCACTTATCCATGTTGTTTGAAAAAGATCGAACTAACCTTTAGAAGGGAATACACACATATACCATGCACTGGATACTGACTATCCCTAGAGTCTTTGCTTGGTGCTTTTTATGGTGCCAAAAGCCGTGCATTACTGTAGAGCCTTGTGCAGGACTATTGTTTAAATCCTGCTCCGCAAACAACATTGCCCCTGCCAGCAGCCACGCTCTCCAGCCACCCAGATCTGAAGGCAGGGCCACCACAAGCAGCGCAGAGGTAAGCGTGGCAATGTGAAAAGGGATATTTGTCAATATCACTTTCCACAGCAGATTTAGCGCCCCATTGCCAGCAGCAGCATTAGTAAGGATGGCCATGGGATGCTAGTAAGTCTGCTGTGAAAAGTGATATTAACAAAGTTTCTTCGCTCCCCCACCAGAAAACCTTTTGGTTCGGCTGGGTTGGGGGTGCACCCCAAATTTGCACACCACTACCCTTTAAATAGTTTATTATAGGATTATCTGCAAGCAGTGTCTTTGGTGTGAGATCTAAAGTGTAGTTGACCTGGAGAAAGTGACTGATCCTTTGAGACTGGGATTAATCTAAATATTGCTGTGATCCTTGGTGTAAGGAATCATCTACCACAAAGGTAGGTTGGCCTAGGTGACAAGATAGGTCAGAGTACCCAAGGGAACTGCCTGACTCCATTGTAAGGCTGTTATAGTGCCTGAGGCATTTACACTTGATAATTAATTGCTAAAAGCTAAGTATAGAATTCACAGCCAATTTGGGGCTTGTGCTTTGAGTCTGCCCTGAGGCTGGTACTCACGCTCTTGAGTCACTGCAGAACAGCTTGAAAAAAGTAACTAAAAAATACAAATGCAAAATGAAACTAAAATTGATTATTTAGATGTTTAAATCATGACTGATAAAACTTTACCCCTATATATACCTTCTATCAAATGATTCCAAAACATGTTATGAATTAGCTGATTGTGTCTCACAGCTCTCCCTCCACTCCCTTGCAGGAACACAACCCCATAAGGTGGGTACTGTATTTAATATTCTCATTTTACAGATGGGAATACCGAGGAAGAGAAAAGTTAATGGCACCAATTTCAAACTTGGGTATGTAAAGCCAGATGCCTAAATCAAACCTACATTTATTCACCTGAACCATTTTCTGCCAGACTAGTAGAACTGGAAACTGGAGGGCTGGCAAGGTCCCTGTCTTAAGGAGCTTACACACAAATATACAATAAAAGAAAGATAAAGGTTGATATTTTCAAAATAGTCTAAGGGATTTAGACATGTCTGCCACTAAAATTAATGTGTCTACATCACCTAGAGTGCTTTGAAAAATTTAACTATGATCTCTGCCCTGAGGAGCTTATACGTTAATAAAAAAACACTTATGAACCAGCACCTCAGCTGGTGGAGATTGGACTTCTATGGAACTACATTGATTAACACCAGCTGTGTTAATCCTATGTGTTAACACCAGACAAAAGGAAAGAAGACTGAAAGTATAACAAGGGTTATGATGAAGACCAGGCAGGTCATATTTACTTAAAAGTACACAGTCCCAAAGGGCTGATTCATTTCAATAAGGCTTCTGAATACCAAAACCATACAAAATAAATCCCTTTCAGTGCTGACGTTTTAGAATATAAATTCTTTGATGCAGAAATAATTAGTGGCTCAAACCCCATTGTAGAAAAGAAGAAATTCCTCTATAGCTGGACAACTATGATGGCATTGATAGGAGTTAGGGACAATGATCAATAGCTTTCATTGTTCCTCATCAGATGAATCCACACGGTGATTAGGAAGGATGGTCCACTGGTTAGGGTACTAATCTAGGACTTGGAGACTGGGATTCGGTTCCCCGCTTCACTACAAACGTCTTGCAATTCACTTGGGCAAGACCGGGATTCAGTTCCCTGCTTCACTACAAACTTCTTGCAAGTCACTTGGGCAAGTCACTTAGCCTCTCTGTAGTTTAGTTGCCCATCTGTAGAAATGGGGATGATGGTCCTTTCACCTCGCCTCACAGGAGCATTATGAGGATAAGATTGTGAAGTACTTTGAGATCTACTGCTGAAAAAACACTATATAAGAGCTACTTGTGATTATTAGCTCTTTTCAAACCATTTTAAATACATAATATGTGTAACGTTGTCACAACTCTTTATTCTATGTCTAAAATATGTAAATATCACTGGGGTGTGATAGATAATTTTATTTCTAAAGGACAGTATAATAACTTTTTAAAAATGTGCACTTTATTATTATTATAATATGCATCAATAGTCATAACTTTTATTCACCATCCAAGTAGCTGAGTCCCTCTAGTGGCATAAATTCAGCATTTTAGCAACATTCCATTTAAAAAATCCAATTATATCAGTAGATTCAATGCTAGCACTTTTTGAGGCTCTCTAAAGGACTACTGTGACCTGATCTTGGGACAGACACTGTGCACATCCATATTAATAAGTATAAATTGATTTATAGCCATGTGGCAGCAAGTATAGGTGCACTGGAAGAGACAAGAAATTCAGAGAATGAGTGATATTGATATTCTAGGACTCTAATTGCTTTAAATAAGAGACACAGTGTCAGGAGTAACGTAATGCCCAGGGTAGCCAATAGGGATATAGGCTTATAAAAAAATGTATCGTGAGCAAGGAGCGAAGTATGTTAAGTGCATTGATCTCTGCTTATCTTGTAAATACACATCGCTCTCACTCTCTCTCTCTCATGGATATTTGGAAGACAGGAATCTAAGGCACCAAAACCAAGCTGGCATCCACAGGAAAATCAAATGGCATGAAAAACCCACAACAGTAAGTATTCACTGTATTAGATGTTTATTAAACTGTATGGATTTAATAGCAAATAAAAGAGAGAACTTTAATGGATATTGGTTGCAGCTGATCTCTCTTAAGAACCATTTAACGGAACGCAGCCTCTTGAGATTTGTAATTTCACCTTTGCCTTTCCAGATGACTGTTTATTATACATGTGGTGGCAATCTCTGGACAGTGAGTAATCCATTCATTATCAAGGCTGACTGAGAGTAAACGTGTGTGCAGCAATGACTCCTTAACCCTGCTGACAGCAAACTACAAAGAAGGAAAATGATGAATCCGGATAATTTAACCTCCCTAAGCTTCCTCTCAGCAATTCATAGCAACGCTAGCAATTTATTCTCAGGGCTCCAGTTTGTTCAGTCTTTCAAGCCACTCATCATCCCATGCTACTCCCTGGTGGTTTTTGTTGGCATCATTGGGAATTATCTCCTCATTTATGTCATCTGCAAGACGAAAAAAATGCACAATGTCACCAACTTCCTGGTCGGCAACCTGGCTTTCTCAGACATGCTTATGTGTGCAACCTGCGTGCCCCTGACTCTGGCATATGCCTTTGAGCCCCGGGGATGGGTTTATGGACGCTTCATGTGTTATTTTGTGTTCTTAATGCAACCGGTCACTGTGTTTGTGTCTGTCTTCACCTTGACTGTCATAGCTGTGGACAGATACTATGCCATGGTGTATCCTCTCCGGAGGAGACTCACTATATCAATCTGTGCTTATATTCTGGCTGCGATTTGGCTGCTGAGTTGCATCTTGGCTGCCCCAGCCTTGGTCCACACCTATCATGCTGAGTTCCCAGAACTGGACTTCTCCATCTGTGAAGAGTTTTGGTTCCATATGAAGAGGGATCACTTAACGTATGCCTACAGCACTCTCATCATCACATATGTACTGCCTTTAATAGTCATCTCCTTGTCCTATCTGCGGATCTCTGTCAAACTGAAAAATCGAGTGGTTCCGGGAAACATCACCCAGGGCCAAGCTGAGTGGGACAGGGCTAGGAGGAGGAAAACCTTTCGCTTGCTGGTCCTGGTGGTGGCTGCCTTTGGAGTCTGCTGGCTCCCTCTGCACATCTTTAATGTGATAAAAGACATGGATATTAACCTAATAGATAAACAGTATTTCAACCTCATCCAGCTGCTGTGCCACTGGTTTGCTATGATGTCTGCCTGCACCAATGCCTTCCTTTATGCCTGGCTACATGACAGCTTCAGAGGGGAATTGAAGAAGATGTTTGCCTGGAGGAAGAAGAAGATTGGACCTGCCACTAACTGCATTATGGCCAGTGTGATGCTATAAGTGTGTGTGTGTGTGTGTGTGTGTGTGTGTGTGTGATTCAGTTACAATGCATTTCCTTTCCAGTGATGAGTGTAAAGCTATGTCTACACTAGAGAACTTACAGCAGCACAGCTGTACCAATGCAGCTGCACGGCTGTAAGATCTCTCATGTAGCCGCTCTATGCAGATGGGAGAGAGCTCTCCTGTTGACATAATTAATCCACTCCCCAATGAGAAGTAGTAGCTATGACAGCAGGAGAAGCTCTACCACTGACATAGCACTGTGCACGCTACCACTGACGCCGGCGTAACTTGTGTTGCTAATGGGGGTGGAATATTCACACCCCTGAGCAACATAAGTGGTAGTGTAGATCTAGCCTTAGTCTTTCCTATTGTTATTGATGACCAGGTTGTATGTTCCTCCAATGTGTTACCCTCAGGACTTGACTGTGGCAATCCAGGGCCCCAAGCGCAGCCTCACATGTAACCTCTGTGGCCCCAACTCCACCAGGGTAGCAGAGGTGACATCTAAGAGTCCTGTGCTGTCCACACACGAGATACAGAGCCGTCTGCTGGGTTGTCAGGGGGGATTCAATCCTGATCAGTCTCCCACTCTGCAAAACCTCTACTGTGGCCCCACCCTCTGCTTAAGATGATGGTAGTGGGGGCCATGCATACAAGATTACACTGGTGAGGAGGCAGGGGGTCCCTTTACCCAAATGAAAAGCCTTCTGCTGGGATGCTGAATGTGGCCATTTACAAAAAATGCTTTTCTTTTAAAAATGTTGACAGCAGAACCATATGCAGTGTTACAGTGACACCACTGCTATATACAGAGATAAGATCACCTTCCTATTCACTGCTCCCCTGCTTATGCACCCAAGGATTACATTAGCCCTTTTTGCCACAGCATTGTACTGGGAGCTCACATTCAGTTGTTTGTCTACCATAACCCCTAAATCCTTTTCAGAGTCCTTCCAGAATAGAGTCCCATATTTTGCAGGTATTGCCTGCATTCCTTGTTCCTAGGTTGGATTGTTGCATGCCATTGTTTTGTCAGGACAAAATGACCATCTGTGACATGGAGGCGTATTGGTGGTTCACTACTCTGTCAGCTACTCTTGTCAGGCCTGACGTACTCACTACACCAAAACACTCTTGTCACAAGCTGTATCTGAAAGGTGTCATGTAAGATATCATATGTAAACTGTTAACACAGGTCCTAAAAATCACTGCGTGGTGTATATACAGGGTGTGCACAAAGAGTTGTACATATTTGCTAGAATCAGTCTTACCATTTGTTTTGCAAGCTATGCATAAGTCTAATCTGCCCTTGGCAATGGAAAGTGTATTTTCTTGGCTGACCAGCCAGGTTGTCAGGCAAAGACAATGAAAGTACATTTACATATAAGGTAAACAAAACTATCTAGCTCACAGGTTGGGGAGAAGATAACATGGCATTTACACCCCAGCAGGTCAGGGAAATTTTGTCTGGGCTTGTTCTTCAAAGAATACATTTCAGCGATTTATTGAACTATAAAAAGAATGGGAGAGAACCCCATAGTTATCTTTCATCTGAGGAGTCAAAGAAACCGAGTGCTTTGAGCTCCATGTGTTGGGTCCCAGCTAAAGAACAGGCCAGCCATGCTGGAAGACTGACTGTCATGAGAAAAACCTCTTTGAACAAAACGCTCTAGTTTGTTTGTAACCATTTCTATCCTTATTCCTTATATTGGTATCACTTAAAACTATGTCCTTTTGTTAATAAACTTGTTTACCATAAATCAACTCAGCGCTTTAATGTATAAGCAAACTTGATAAGGTTTTTGGGTGTTACAGTAAGGAGACTGCACACTGCAGAGAAAGACATTGTTGGAGAGAACTTGGGGCTGGAATGTTGGTTGAGGTCCCTCTGCAAGGAACAACTGGGCGATGGAATCAGGGTGAGGCTGTTGTGCTGTGAGCAAGGTGCTGGTATCAGGGCTCTGAGACATCCAGGGTCACAGGGCAGGTGGTGACACAACCCCTTACTGAGCCGGGGTGAACCCCAAAGCGTCACACCATACTATTCAGAGACAAAAAGAACGAGGAGTACTTGTAGCACCTTAGAGACTAACCAATTTATTTGAGCATAAGCTTTCATGGGCTAAAACCCACTTCATCGGATGCATGCAGTGGAAAATACAGTAGGAAGATTATATATATATATATATATAATGTGTATATATATGTATACATACACAGAGCGAACATGAAAAAATGGGTGTTGCCATACCAACTGTAACAAGAGTAATTAATTAAGGTGAGCTATTAGGTGAGCTATTTTCAGCAGGAGAAAAGAAACTTTTGTAGTGATAATCAGGATGGCCTACCAGGAGACAGACACCTTCCCCCCTCTGTCCTTAGCACAAGGAGTATGAGACAAGTGTAAGGAGAGATAATTATAAGTGCTTAAACATATAGAGAGTTCATACTATCAAACAAATGCATAACTTGTACATAGATTCCCCAAATTGTCAGCGTGTGTTTGTTGCATTCGCAATTTAAGCAAATGTCCCTAGCTTGAAAGTTACATTTGAAATCCATTATCATTTTGGGTTTTGAGAGGCATATACTGAATTGTAAAAGTACTTGTATGATCATTTGAATGATGCAGGTAGATGTATTCAATTTGCATAACTATGCCTAGCTACTGACTTGTCCACAGGACTGGATAAGTTATTTTCCTAACCAGACATGGTGACCTACACATACAGTGCTGAAGAGTTTTTGATAGTAAAGATTTTCTTCCTCGCTCTCGTTCTCACAAGCACACACGGGTGGTGGGGGGTGGGGGGTGCAGGGAAGAGGTGACAGCAAAGTCTTCAGCTGTTCCTGAAACTAATTCTTATGCCAGGTGATCACATTGGGCTAGACTGTGATCTCAGTTTCACTGATATAAACCTGGACTGACTCCAGCAATGATTTACACGGTTGTACTGTAAATGAAACGTGTTTCCTTCCTGTTGCTTCTGGAAGGTTTGTGAGACATGCAAGAATGCATCTTGGCATCAGGGAACAAAAGAAAAGAAAAGTGAGTTGTCAAGTATCCCGTTGTGCTGCCAGCCTTTATTTAAAGGTTTATTTTTATAGTTTATTAAAGAGACGGAATTTAGAAACCAATTCTGAACAGTGGGTTTTTTGGTTTTTTGGTTTGGGGGTGGGGGTGAAGATTCCAAAAGACAAAACAGTAGGACAAAAAATAAAAAATAGGAAACAAACTATATTTTGTGAGCTTTTGGCATTTGTTTGGGGACTTGTTTGAATTAAGAATGTATATAAATTATGTGGAAGAAACGAACTCCACTCTCAGGTTGGAAGCAACAAAATCAGAGACAGCTTTATTTGGGACATGCAATTGCAAGGGAAGAACACAGCTGACAGAGAGCATCTCTGCCTCAGTTTCACCAAAATACAAGCAAAATTACACAAGCATTTTTGTGACGTGCATTAATTAAAAACTTCTGCATTTTATTGAGGCTATTGGCTATCTATTCCTGTATTTTCTCACTTTCTCTTCTCAAACATCATTATCTCAAGGCTAAGTCACACTGACTATTCTGCTGTTTTCCACTTGCTTCTGACGTGAGCCCTGCTTCTACAGGTCTCGCAATATCACAGCTAAGACTTGACAGAACAGTTGCTCTGTCTCTGACACTCAAATGGCTGCACTTAAACCCTCTCTTTCTTTCCCTGCTTCCATAATTAAGAGACAGCATCTCTTATAACAGCAATCACGGAGCACTACCAAAAAAAAAGTCATTTTTTTTTTTAAAGAATTTCACTCACCAGTCAAGCTTGCAGTCATATCACCTCAGGCTGTGATCTCATCAGATTCCAAAAGCTAAGAACGACCAGCCAACATCATGAATCAGGCTCCAAAACCAAAACCAAACCAAAATCAAGAGATTGGCTTTAAAATTGTGAGTTTAAAATGATTACATCTGGGTTTCTTTTTCTTTGCCATGTGGTTTTTGAGATGAAGTCCAGCTGGAGAGCGTGGCCCCTAGAGGAGAAAGAGGGCATGACGCATCTGGACAATAACTCTTTGAAGACACCATAGCAACTCAGCTGGATACAATTTAACATTGAACTGACCCCCAAAGAAGTGTTTCAATTCAATTCAACAAAGTTTTTCAGTTCAGGCTGACCCAAAAAGAAACAAAATAGTTTGTTTATATTCTCCCACTGGAAATTGAAAATTGTAGGCAGGAGTGATAATGGCACATTCCTGACAGTTTTAGATTGGCCACAATTAGATTGGCTACGAAATGCGAGTATGTCAATGATTTGAGACTATTTCCTCTTCTTTCTCTCCTACTCCATCACCTTATTCCCCACCACTTCAGTTCCTGACTGGGGTGGAGAGGAAAAAGAGAGAGAAAAGGGAGTCCTCATTACAGTCACTATAATAGCGTATTGCTTCTTTTCTGATTTGCTCTTCCTAGTCTGCCACTGGTTCTGAGTATTCGTAGGCCCAACTTGACTTAGCCACATGCATCCATTTTTATGGTATTCTCAATGAAGTCTGTATATTCTCAAGCTCTAACGTATCTGGGGAATTGAGTTACCCTGACTAATATAGCTATTTTATTCTGATGATACACACATATCTGATATTTCTGTGCCGTGCCTTCCCTTACTTAGAGGCACCTCTCACAATTTTGTCAAGTACCAGACATCACTGATCTTATTGCCTCTATTTAAAGGGCCTTTCTACTGCTGCGAGGATGCAAGTATCTCTCTTCAGAACCTAGAATTATTTCTGAACTGTGCTTGTTATCTCCTAGGGAATGTGTGTGGAGCTATACAGCCATCTGAGTTACTGCAGGAACATTCACCCTTCAGTAAAACACATGGGCTCAAACAGAGACCAAGAGAACATAATGTGAAATAGGCGTAATGGCATTAGGAGATGCTATAATTAATGCGTAATTGGATGACTAATACATACAAGCATGACTACAGTGGCTATAAAATAAAGCTACTGACAGTTTAACAGAGACTACAGGCATTGCATAATTTACAAAGCAGAGGAGAGAGCCAACAGGGCCATGCCCTCCGGCACTCCTGCACAGGGGACAACCAGAATGCTGCAGCCTGCCCTGCCCAAATTCATGGGAACCCCTATGCCCTGGCCGGCAGTGCTGAACAACTCAGATGTCAGTGGGTGGGCTGTAGCATGGCCAGGACTCGACCTCACTCCAGTCCACCAGCAAGCACCACAAGGTTAGTGTTGGGCGTGAGAAGTGGGGGAGGAACAATCAGCATCTTTCCTACTTTTGTAGCATCTACCACCAGTGAGTGCATTCCTCCCAGCACCCGTGGAGACATCACACCTTAACCTGGACTCTGTCCTATTCTTCTCTTAGGGCCTGACTTCAGTGGGCTTTAGACCAGACCCTTATTGCACATGATTTTTCAATCCTGGAGGTTGCAGAATGGCCCAGCAATGCTTCTCCTCGGTGTTAGCCACCAAGGATTATCCCACTTACCAAAACTGCCTAAAACAGGGGAGAGTTTGGACATTTTTTGGACAGTGTAATAGGGTACTGGCCCTGTTAGGCAGTCCGAGAAGCCAGTGACCCCATTCCAGCTCTCTGGGATAACTGAAGCAGTTATTGGGAGAGAGGAAGGTGATCCAGGGGAGCTGTCAGTGTCTGGGAGAGGGAAAGTATAAAGTCATCCAGACCATTGTTCCTTTAAGGGTCCAGGACTGACCAGGAGCCTTGTAGAGTGGACTGGGCAAAGTTCCCCTCCCTGCCATTCAGTGCAGACTGGTGTCTGGGATTATTAGGCCCACCTAATAAGGCTAGGGAGGATTAAGGGGGTGTTCAGGTGACTGGGCTAATGGCTCTAAAGGAAGCTCCAAGCCTAGATAGGGAAAGCTGGTGAAAGTGTCAGAACCCGCAGGACTGGAATCTAGGCCAATGGGCATTCTAGGTGACCAACATGTCCACATTGCCACCAGCAACTCAGGCCAAGTTTTCCTAGGGAACCCTGTGAAGCTAGACGCTGCAGGAAGTACCACCCAGTGAAGCTTGAGTGGCAGCCCCCTTACAGCCCACTGATTGGCCCATGCTGGTATATAAACCAGGAAACCAGCACAGGGAGCTGTCTGAGCAGTGATGTAGGTTATCTGCTTCCTTCTACTCCAGACCTTGCCTTGCTGTGAACGCCAGCTCCATACCCAACAATGCTACTTGCCTCCTGTCTACAACTTCATGCCTGACTCTGACTTCCTGGTATCCTGACCTGGCTTGACTGGCTGCTACTATCTACTAACTGCAATTTGTAACTGATCCATGCACACACCCTGCCTGTGGCCTGGCCCTGGCAGGAAGGTGCTGATGGGGGGGGGAAATCAGCTAGCACACAGTTCCAGGAAGGGGTTATTAAACTTGAGAGGTGAGTTACAGGGCAGGGAGTCCAGAAATTAAAGCCACAGCCCCTAGGCAGGAGGACTGTGGGACCTGAGACTTGACTGAGTTTGTGGGCTGGGAAAGCCAGAACATAAAGCCATAGTCCCAAGAATGAGGACAGTCGGACCCTAAACTTGATGAGTGAGCAGAAAGCTGAATGATATCAAATAAATTAGACCCCAGAAGAGGGGGAACATTCTTTCACAAACACTGGCTGTGGTGGG